TCGCATGAAACCCCTGTAAACACACACACAGGTATCTGATGCACATGTACAGTTAGGACAGGTATCGCATGAAACCCCTGTAAACACACACACAGGTATCTGATGCACATGTACAGTTAGGACAGGTATCGCATGAAACCCCTGTAAACACACACACAGGTATCTGATGCAGACGTACAGTTAGGAAGTGTATCGCATGAAACCCCTGTAAACACACACACATGTATCTGATGCACATGTACAGTTAGGACAGGTATCGCATGAAACCCCTGTAAACGCACACACAGGTATCTGATGCACATGTACAGTTAGGACAGGTATCGCATGAAACCCCTGTAAACACACACAGGTATCTGATGCACATGTACAGTTAGGACAGGTATCGCATGAAACCCCTGTAAACACACACAGGTATCTGATGCACATGTACAGTTAGGACAGGTATCGCATGAAACCCCTGTAAACACACACAGGTATCTGATGCACATGTACAGTTAGGACAGGTATCGCATGAAACCCCTGTAAACACACACAGGTATCTGATGCACATGTACAGTTAGGACAGGTATCGCATGAAACCCCTGTAAACACACACAGGTATCTGATGCACATGTACAGTTAGGAAGTGTATCGCATGAAACCCCTGTAAACACACACACATGTATCTGATGCACATGTACAGTTAGGACAGGTATCGCATGAAACCCCTGTAAACACCAACCCGGTCTCATCCCAAGACGTCATATAACTGACGTTTTGGGACGTCTTTTGACCATACGTCAATATTTGCCTTTTTAGGGCCCCCTTAAACGTCGGTAGATGAGGTTATGGGATCCTAACTCTACCCCATACCTAAACCTAACCCTAAACCTAACCCGTCACCTAACTGACGTTAAAGGTAAAGCGTCAGTTGTATGATGGCCCGGGATCGCCATCTACCGACGTTTAAGGGGGCCCTAAAAAGGCAGATATTGACGTATGGTCAAAATACGTCCCAAATCGTCAGTAATATGACTTTTTGGGATGAGACTGTGTTATAAACACACACACAGGTATCTGATGCACATGTACAGTTAGGACAGGTATCTCATGAAACCCCTGTAAACACACACAGGTATCTCATGCACATGTACAGTTAGGACAGGTATCGCATGAAACCCCTGTAAACACACACACAGGTATCTGATGTGTGTGTGTGTGTGTGTGTTGATCTAAAACATGTCATTTATTGATTGAGCATTTGAAGAGCTCTCATCTTCCAAACCATACCTCTGGCATATGAAAATGTGGACTGAAAAAAAAAAAAAAAAAAAACAGCACCGTAAGGACAGAGCAATAACATCCAATTTCTGTCATTTTCTCATTTTCTCTCTTTTGCTCAATTGCTCATACATTCATTGAAAACCTGGGACTGTATGTGTTTGCATTTGTGTGACCAGTCAGGAACTAAATGGCTTCTGTGGGAACACAACATTAGACTGAAGTGTCAGTTTGTGAGCTTGAAAGCACACACACACACACAAAGTTGACTCGAGCTTACCAAAAGTGGCTGAATGCTCCAAAGGACCCAAATAGGCGTCTTTTCAAATGCCTGTGACCACTGTGACTCAGAGTGCATGAATTCAAATAATGCAAAGCTTATGGGTTTGCATTCAGCACCGCATGAGCAGTCAAACACACCGCCATCTTCCTGTTGATCAGAATCAATGCAAAGATGACCTAATTTCATACCAAGTAGTATAATATTATGCATGCCGATAATTATTTTGTGAAATTCTGAAATTTCAAAACTAACTAACCAACCAGTCAGTCTTTTTGAAAGGCCGATAAACGTTCAAACTGTTTTTTTTTTACATTTTGAACTTTTGAGGCCAATATTCAAAGTTGCTTACAATTCTATTTCCATTACAAATTTGAATTGCCATTGAAATTTATGTAGTATTGGAATCCATATAGCATTTTAAATTGTATTGTAAATAGTGCACAGCCCTGTCTGACTAAATCCTTGTTAAAATATGTACACCTTATCAAATTTTTCACACAAAAGTTCAAATAATGTCAGTTTCATGATCGAACGTCACATGTTGTGACTCAGCAAACCTAGAATCTAACATTTTAGCATTCATTTCCGCTGGTTCCCGTGTAGTTCTGTATAATTGCAGAGCAAATGGCATGTGTCAAATATGTCATTGGGTTCATTTGGAAAAGCAAAAAATGTGAACATTAAAGGAGAAATTAATCTGAAACAGTCATTTATCAACGTGACAGGCTTAAATACGGACTCCTGCACAGACCTGTGTGCAAGTGCAAAAAAAAAAAAAAACCCTCCTGCATGCTTCAAGGTGGGAGTGTGGATGGGAGCTGTGGATGTAGGTTTTAAGTGCTAGAGGTTGTATTGGGGAAGTAGTGGTCATCCAGGCTTGACGGAGGCCGATATGACCGCTCTGTGGTGTCGGGTGGTGGGGGAGGGCTGCTGAGAGCATCTATCTTGTGACAGCACACGGCTAAAGCCAGAGGAAGATTGATGCTCTCTCCCTTCGGACTTATAAATCTCTTCCGAAAGTTTGAAAATTTATAAATTACAGCTGAATTATAACAAATAACTACTCACCCATCCCACAAAGTTCCGTGTGTGATGCATCTGTGTATGTGGGTGTTTAGTGTACACTTTGCACATGAATAGTTCTGTTTATGTAAATACAAACACTGTTTCACTCTCCACCCAGTGAGTTTTCAATCACACACTGAACTGCACAGCCTACATAACACTATAGTCATCACTGACATCAAATACGAAGTGACATTCAGTATGCTAAAGCATGCAGTGTGTAGCTGAAGGACACGATGGCTTAGTTCAGACAGGCAGCTAAAGTTTTGGTAACAATTTATAATAACTACATGCTAATAATCATTAGTTAAGCATGAGTAAACAGATAATTCATCATTCATACAGCATTAATAGTTTGTTTGTAATAATTTGTTTAATAATTGTATTTTCATCCTTTATTAATGATCAATTTATAATTTCTAAATTAAGAATTGCATTTTTTATGAACCAGTTATTTAAGAGTTGTCAGTGGTTCATAAGATTACTTAGAACGTGTAAGTAAATGATTAAAAAACTATTTAAATGTACATTTATACATCTTATTATTCAGACATATAGTGATGGTTAGTGTGTTAATAAATGCTTTATTAACATGTATTTATGCTGTAATTCAGGGTTAATTCGGGTAGTTATAAAGCATTTAGCAGTGGTCAGTTAACTATGTGAGCTCATCTAAAGTGAGGACTATTCATGCCTTGTAAAGCATTCATAAAGGAGATTTAAAGGCTGGTAAATATTTCTATGTTCTGTATCACTGTGTTGTGTTTGTTACATTTTACTGTTTTAAAGATCGATGCGCCTTTAAATCTCCTTTATAAATGCTTTACTAGGAATGAATAGTCCTCAGTTTAGATGAGCTCACAAAATAGTTAACTGACCACTAGTAAATGCTTTATAACTACCTGTACATTGACTTACACTTTTTAAGTGATGTTATGAATGACTGACAACTCTCAAATAATGATCAATTAATAATTTCTAAATGAAATAGCATACAAGCCAGTTATTTAACGAAGTATGCTTATAAATCAAGAAAACCAGCATTTATAGCTGTATTTATAAACTGCTTATTAATGTCTGTTAATGCTTTATAAATGATGAATTAACTGTTTATTCATGATTAATAGCGTGCAGTTATTATAAAGTGTTACCTTGTTGTCTCAACAGCAAAAACATACCTACAATGTTACCTATAAAATACACAGCATTCATCCAAACCCCATTCAGGTTTGAATTCTGATTCAAATAAGAATTTATTTTTATTTATTTATTTATTTATTTTTATTTTGTTGTCATCTGGCACCTGTGTCTAAATATGGTCAACGTCATTTTACCAATTAAAGCATGTTCCTGGATTCATTGTTGGTCGTGGAATAACATTCCAATCAACCAATCAGATTTGAGGGAAGTTTGCAATTTATGTCAAGTATTGTCTTACAACCAGGGTTAGGTGCTTCTACATCAGTGTTTCCCTCTGATTTTAGGGATAACTTAGTAGGGTTAAGTGATAGGGTTGTTATTCAAATTTCAGACAGGAATTTTGTTCAAAGATCAACAAAATATGTTGATCCAGTAGCATATCTTACTTTACAGTCTCTGTCTATAATGTTAAATGAGCGAATGAGTTAGTGGTTTTGGTTTATTTACAGCCTATTTAAATATGTATAATTCTTAGGCCACAAACCATACATATTTGCATGATTTCAATCAATATAATACACCCATATATGCTCGCAATTACAAGTAATTTGTGATATGTGAGGTCCTCCTCATTAAGGGGTCAAACTCATACTCCTTCAAGTCAAAAGTGGCCTTTAAATATAACTTTTTGTTAGTAAAATGAATGTAATATATTTTTGTTCAATAATATTGTTTATTTAATATTTTGTATTTTGAGGGAATTTTATGGTACTAAGTAATATTTAGGAAATGGTTATGATCTATTTGTTTCTACAATTTTTTACTATACAATACATACAATTAATCCATACCATCCATTCTATACGGCGGACACTTTTGATAGGAGTACAAATGTGCTACTTTTAGGATAAGTTTGTACCTTTTCGAATCATATCTATGATGTTTGTGTGTGTGTGTGTATTGATAGCAAGTGACAAAAAGTGTAACATTCCTATGAATAAAGAAAAAAACGTTTTTTTTTTTTTTTTTTTTTTGACTAAGGAGCACCAGAGCATGCAATACATTTTGGCTGGCTTTAATGCATTTTCTGTGCTGTATATATCGCTGTATATGCTGGATATATTTAATATTCAATTAGTAGTACAAAGATTGGATTTTGACAATGTTTGGAAGACCCTTGAAACAAAAGATATGTTTGAGGCACTTAGTGTTTATTGCATTTGGATGGGCAGGAATTATAACCAACAAAGCCAACATACATTTTCCACCTAATGTCTTCAAATTAAACTGTATGTTTTACAAGTCGGTCTGATGATTTCTTCCTTTCTAAGTGGCAACTTATTGGTCAGATTAAGTGCAAAGTCAACTTGATCTTGTGCCAAGAGTCTCTGGGCTGTACTCTTCGATTTTCAGATCATAAAGTAATTTGAAGACAAGAACAGTCGTGACAGAATGATGAGCTTTGGGGCGTCTGACATCAGGTAATGTTGTTTAAACCTCACTCTCTCTTTCTTACCATGTTACTGATACTTGTCCTGTTTATTGCTTTGGGAAAAGTTATTACAAAAAACATATATTCACCTTCTGGTTCCAGCCACGCTTAAAGTGTGATTTATGTTTTCGGCATCATTCAAAGCTCTCAGAAAGCAACTGGCCATGAGAAACAGATGGTCCTTTTATTTAATGAGATTTGGGGCTTGGCAGGTTTCAGCAAACAACTAAATTTCCTGGATGCGAGGTTTCCATGTCTCGATTATGACTGTCCTGTATTCTATTTATATGCACACTGTCAGATAGGCATATATTTCTTGTACGATGAGTATTAGGCATTAATGAAGGTCTACAAGAAGAATATATTAAAGCGAATGTGTGTGTTTCAGCACTTTTCTCTCAGATGACAAATGCTTCTCATCTCGTGTCCGGGCAGCTGGCGGTCATGACATAAAAATTTTCACATACAAATGGTCTACTAACAAGATGAAAAAACAAAAACAAAGACCCAAACGGAGACAGTGGAACAACCTTCTTCACACCGCAGTGTAAAGTTAAAGCCTATTGTCAGGGCTTCCCTGAGCCCATTCACATGTATTGGCAGATCAATAATCCTGACAGGTAGAAGTTGTCCGGCTCTGAAATACATCTCAGAGCTATCCGCACTGCGGCCGTCCCTAGGCAAACGGGATTATGACCTCTGAACACTTCCGGATAAGAGCCAAATCACTTTTTACTTTACGACCTCACTCAGGAGCTGACGTTTACCACAGCACGCTCGGAAACAAATGACAGCTCGTTAAAATAAACCCCTCGATACGGATCCAAACTGACAGACTGCGGCCCAGAGCAGCAAACAACTTTGACAGTCACATGACCTACGATTCCACCTGCCATCAGCACTGGCTCCGGCACAATTCATATACAGTCTGTACAAATAGTTTGAGATTAGTGTGTCCCAATTCATACTTTGTTGAAAATACTATGCCAAAGGTGCCCAGATGGTCTACTATTTCTGGTAGAGGTTTGAAGTATTTTTGTGTGCTAAATTATAACACCCCTTTTAGGTCCTGTAAACAGCAAAAATGAGGCATGGGGTGGCCCAACCTTTTAGCCAATCAGACATTTTTCTCTGCCTGCCAGTCATTTACACTTTTTACTGACATCAAATTTGAGTCCATGACTTAAAGTCTAGGAGTTATGACCAGTTTTGCACTTTTGGTTGCTATAACGCCACCTATGGGCCAATCGGGCTCATACTCTCTGAACCTCCCCTCGATTTTTGTACTACCATGTGACAAAGTTTCAAGTCTCCGGTTTGGGCTGCATGATGCGTTTTACAGCAGAAGAATAATAAAAAATACACAGAATATTACAAATCAATAGGTTTTCAGCACTTCATGCTTGAACACCTAATTAATGTAAATAATTTAGCTATACGCTGTTACTTGCATAAAAATTGAATGTAGTATGCAGGGTTGAGAATTAATGGGGGCTTGGGACACTACCACCAATGCCACCAAATGTCCCCCAAATACATACGGCAGCAAAAAAAATGCCCCTGCACAATTAAGGTTAAATAAGTGTTGATTGCGACAGTACATTTAAATTGGCTATTGTTGCACTAAAATACTGAATCATCTTTATTTAATTATTTATTTTTTTTGCAGTGTTCAGCATTATAACCAATCACGGATATATCTGTTGAGCGCATGAATGTCCCATCAAAAGAAATTAGATTAGTCTATAATTGGTGAAAACTCTTATGTTTTCTTATGTGTTCTCTTATACTTCTCACAAATTCTCTTATCATAAACAACAAAGTGCAGATACAATGCATACTACGTCAGATGTAGCTTCTACTACACGTTTTCAGTGTAAAGATGCCTTTGTGATGTTGATAAAACTGTATTAGTAACAAACAGCTTGATGATGAACGACAATTGATTAAATTGACTTTAAATACAATTGTGATGGCGGACCACTGATAGCTGGGACGTATTAGTTTACTTCTTTAATAAGCTATCCAATGCAAAGAAACTTGAATTGTACCTTTTTTGATGGATGAGATGAAATTCCAGCAGGTTGTAGGTTGATGAGCCAAGCAAGGCAGGCACCGGGCAGTTTTGTTGGTTGGTAGTATCAGACAGGATGGATTCCAGTAATCCAACAAACAATTGGGAGTTGTTTGAAGAAAGGGTGTTAAAAGGCACAACTTAAATGTCAAACTAATGTCCATGTAGGGTTCAATTGATTCAATAGCGTTTTGATAGACAAGTAAAGTAAAGAACTGTAAAGTAAAGAACTTCAAAGTAAAGAACTGTATGCTTGTACGTTCCTAAAGCTTCCTTTTTTCTTTTCTTGTGTTTGAAAAAGTGAGAGGCAGCCATCTTTTTTTTCAAACATTCTCACCAACTGTCAAAATAAAAGTCCCTACAAAATAAAAGATCCTAAATCTAACAAAACATTCCAGTGCTCAATTAGCACAACAATTTAGATTAAACTAAACACAAAATAGCTCCTACAACAACACATATAAATGTAAAGAGTACCTGCAAAACCATACTTAAATAAAAGTGGAAATACAGGGGTTTTCAAATTGGGTGAATGTGAGCCTCCCCTTAGAGTAGGTAAGGAGAGCCGAATCCCCCCCCCCCACACCAAAACACCGTCTGCAAGCCCCAACCCACGCCTCTGACAACGACAACGCTGTTCGTTCACGGAACACGTAACATTTAACAGTCAACTGCATTGAAGGCATGCTATCAGATCGAACAGATTCACATATTTTCATGATTTTTTTTTTAACGATCTAAAACCTTTTTAAACAAAAAGGTTGAAACAAACAAAATGCGCCATTCAATGGGTAAAGCAATACAAAAAAAAAAAAAAAAATCCTCTATGGCTCAACCAATTTATGCATTCAAGACAACAAGTTGTAAGTGAGTTTCAATTTAATCGTCCTTCATATTAGTGGGAACAATGGGAGGCCGCGCTTTTGATGCGCATGCAGTAGGGATGTGACGGTGAGGATATTTTCCCACCGGTTAATCGGCGTGTGACAATACCGGTAATACCGGTGTCACCGGCGGATGCATTTAAATCGCTAATTTAAAGGTAAACATAAAATGCGCGTGTTTTCACGGGCATCAATGGGCATTCATAATGGTGCGGTAGTGCGGAATAGAACTGTTTTGTTATTGTACCTTGAATATGCGCTGGTTTGAAAACGAAACTAGCTTTCTCTTTTAAATTAGCGTCAATTCATCCTTCGCTTGGAGTTTGATTGATAGATATGTGATTTGACCAATCAAAATCCATAATTTTTGTCCGACGAAGCAGTCGGGAGTAGATTAACGTCGGTGGAACTTGGCTTTATCAGGCAATCTGTCACGACACATTAAAGAGCCACAAAACGGTAGGCCTTTAATTTTCTTTGACTGACCAAATTTGAAAGTTGAGACTTTGTTTCATATTAAATATTACCTGCACGGTCCTGTCTGTCGACGCGTTGAAGTGTCCTCTATTTTTCACAGCTTGAGAACATGGGTTGAAACCGAAATCGCCCCCTAAACCCCTACGTTAGTCCACTAATACTGTTCACTTGAAGGAGTGAATGAGAAGGAGTAAATAAAAACAAGTGAGTGAATTCGGACAGCTTGCTGACAGAGCATCTGACACTCGTCCCATTTTCTCACTTTTTTTTTTTTTAATAAAAGCGTCTTCGAATCTAGCCTAAATGTAGACTAATAATAATATTAATGACAATTATTATTGGCATTTATAAATGAGTTCACTTAAGACAGTAGGCATGTGTATCATAAAATAATTTATTCATGTTTTAATAAAGTTTTATTTTTATATAACTTAACATTTTACTGTTTATGAAATGTTTTTGTAGGCATTCTTTATAGGCCTATGTGAAGTTAAATATCTAAGCCTTGTATATAGCCTAAAGAAAAAAAAAATGTGAATATCGTTTCACCAGTCTAAAAACGAATAAAGAAAGCATGTTTTTTTTTATTAAATTATGAGTTAAAAAAGGGAAAAGAAAAGGACGCAAAAGTAGGCTACACCGTCAGACAGTGTCAATCAATGTATTGGAGAAAACGGCAACCGTCAGCATAGATGTAGGCTAAAGAAAACAAAGTTGCTTGTCAGATTTTCCTAACAAACAACCTTTTTTAATAAGCCCCAAAAAACGCAACCCTCAACCCGTGCTGTTTTAACGCGACTTAAAAAAAAAAAAAAAAAAAATTTGCGTATTATAAACTGCTTCGCGCCTCCCCTGTCGCTCTTTGGCGCCCCCCAGGGGAGGCGCGCCTCACTTATAATTGAAAACCGCTGCTCTACAACAAAAATGACTCATCAATTTAAATACCATTTGATTAAAATTCGTAGAGTATGTGATTTTAACAGAACTCAAATATTTTACTTATCCTGAAACTGGGCTCAAAGATGTACTAGTCCTCAACACCTAAGAGATATGTCAGTGAAAAACAATAAACAGTTGATTTGTGAGGAGAACAATCACATGTCTATTTTCTAAAGTCAATAAAACTGAACACCTTAATATTGCAATAAATCAAGGTTGACACAAGAACCTCTTAAACGTCTACAAACACTCAAGTCTCAGTTAAGCTCAAGTGCTCCAAAAGGGCATTATAAACCTTGTCCTTCAGAAAGGTCTCTTCAATATAGCAGATAAATAGAATAACGTTAAGTAAAATGAAATAGTCTAAGCCATGACCTCATCTCATATTTTCAAATGTGTGCGATTCAGAAACTACCTGCTAATGCATTCACATCCGTGTAGGCAAGGCAAGTTTATTTATATAGCAAATTATTGTAATTCAAAGTGCTTTACACAGAAAATAATTAAAAATAATCACAAAATAAAAGCAAGAGAAATTTGGAAAAAGGTAAAGTTGCCTTGTTGACAAGTTTAGTTGAGTACAGCTGGACACACACTATTACCGTAGATAATCAG